TTTGTGCCCTCCGATGCTACATGTTCATAGCACATCACTACAGTGACATAGCTTCTCATGTAGATGCACCCTGTAGGTTCCACGAAAAAATCAGGCATTTTATAATTCATATAGAACATGCTTTTAGGTTTGAGCTCCAGCTTTTTGCATCGGGTGCCATGAAAAGGGTAAAATAGAAAACTCAGCATGGAAAATAATGTGCCTTTATTTCCAATAAATATATATTTGAAGGGAAATATCCAGAATTCTTATGAAACAAACTATAGGCAAGCACTTCATTTGCCCTTTGTGGCTACTCTAGAGACTCACAGGGTACATCTACACATGCAATTAAGTTGAAGCAATAAATTCCAGAGCAGTTTGAGCTTGAGTAAATTACTCCCAGGCAGTTTGAGCCAGGGCAGAGGAGTTAATGCCAGGGCCACTAAGCCCTGGGGTATGGGTAGTGTTGCTAAGCAGTGACGGGGCTGGCTAGGGGAGGGGTTGTCAACCAGGGGTAAGTGTACCCCTGGGGGTACTTGGAAAGGGGCTAGGGGGTATGTGTGGGTGGGGATGGAGCACCAGCATGCTGCCACCTCCCAGGAACAGGGCTGCAGGGGGGGAGGGAGCAAGGGCAGTGGCTCCCCTCTGCGGTCCACACAGGTGCCACCTGGCCGGCTGGATGCAAGGTGGAGGGGAGCTCACACATGGCAGTGGTGGCCACCATCCACCACCTCACACCACAACATGCAAGCCCTTCCCCACCCCCCTGCTCTGTGTCCAGCTGCCACCCTCCCCCCTCCAACTCCTTCAGAAGTGTACCTTAAAAAAGTTTGAAAATTCCTGAGCTAGGGCACAAAGGTGCTGAAAGTACAGAGCCACGTGGCAGGAGTCAGATGTAATTTACACCCACAGCAACATCTACATGTGCATTTAATCACAGTAAATTACCCCAATGTACACTGTTGCTGACAGTACTATTTTAGCACAGCATTATTTAGTTTACTGTGGCCTAATATCATCTCATGGTGATGCTTTACTCCACAGCTAATTAGCCTACTCCACAGATAAGTGCATGCATAGGTGTGGCCACAGTATACCAGATACCCTTTTCCTCTTCTGCTTAGCATCTCCATATTACTGATCTGAGCCTGGGGCAAAAACATGCCCCATGCTGTTTCTCCACACATATTCCATTTAGGTTGAGATTACACATTACAATTAACACATGCTGACTCTAAGGAATGTTAGATTGTGTTAAATTTAGCACATGCTGTGAGCAGTCACACTTTAAGGGTTAACACCCTCCTTAACACGCACTGCTCATACCTGCCACTAGAAGGCTGGCAAGCAGGGCATGGCTAGGAGATGCACATCTCTTTCATATCTGTACCACTCACTGGCTTTCTAGCATAGGCTGGGGGAGGAAGCCCCCTCTTCCTCCCCCCCCCGCCATGCCCAGATTTCCCCTCCACACCGTGGATCACCTCTCTGTCCCTGAATCACCCCTCAGCACACTATCGCCTCCAGATAGCCCCTCCACCTGTCTGATGCCACCATCACTGCCACCACCACTCTCCAGATTCTGGGGATCCATGAGGGGGCAAGTGATCAGGGCCCCAATGCAGGTTGGAGGGACTAGCAGGTAGGAGGGACTGATCCAGGCCAGGGGGCTATGAGTGCCCTGATCTGGGCCAGTGGGGCTGGTGGGGCTGGGGGGACAGGCAAAATAGCCTGGAGAAATGTTGGGGCCTGGTCTAAGCTGGCAGGGTAGGGGGCTCTAGGTTCTAGTGGGACACCAATCCTGGAGCCTGTACTTCCATAGAGAGCCAACAAGCAGGGCAAGCACTGACAGATTTGCAGGTCCTAGTCACGTACCTGCTCACCCATCCTCTAGGAGTGCACATTAGAGAGGGTATTAACCTTTAATATGTGCTTGCTCACAACACATGCTAACTTTTACACAGCCTGAAATTCCTTAGCACATGCTAAATACAATGTGTAACAATACACTTAATGTGTGATTGTTCAAGTTTTGAGTGTCTTTAATATAATCCAATTATAATGTGTAATCTCACATTTATCCAGTAAAGAGGGGCAGGCATTAAGCAGAACCTAGGATAGCTCAGCAAACAGCATAGAGAAATAATGAATCTGCAACCAGTGTAGGCCATTAGAGAGTTACTTGTGAGCGGAAAATGTGTAGGTAAGGAAAGGGGTAGCAGGAATCGAATTGTGACTTGGCATATAGCTCATTTCCAGGTCAGCTCCTGGGATATAATGGCTGCACATTGCTCTTTACTTAGCACTAAGAGCAACATGGTGATCTAAACTTAATTCTTATCAAATGTTAAGCATTCAAGCATAATGCAGTCTAATACTCCCAGTAAAGTCAGAAGTAATTGGCTACATCTGAAACTCTTCAGTGATATAAGTAAAATTAGCTCAGTCAGCATGTAAGTCTAAAACTGGAACTGCCCAGTCTAAAACAAAAAAAAGAAGGGACCTGATCCCATAGTTCTGATATTGGAAAAGCTCCCACTGACACTTTTGCATAGACTGAAACTTCTAGCCTGGAGCCATGAATATTGCATCATGTTATGTTGTATCACTGAACTAAGTAAGAAAGTCTGATGCAAATCAGATGAACTGTGAATGAGCTTTCTGATAGCTTCAGCTGCAGTACTGCAGAAGGGATCTGAACATTCAGCACACTGTATGGCTCATTATCCATATACTAAAGATGAGCCACAATACTCCCATTTTAAAGAACAGTCTAGTTAAAAAGCAGGAAATGAGGACTTTAATTTTGAGACACTCTCCTTCAGTTGAAAGAGAAATAACAAAGAGATACTCATTTGGGTTTTCTATTTCATGCCTGAAAGTCTTACCAATGAGCAAAATTCTCACTGTGTATTCTTTCCAGCTGAACTACAGTTAGACAGCTAAATCAGTAATGCAGTCGAACATGGTCGTATTAACCTAGCGAAGCAGAAAAGACCATCTGCAACACCATGAATATGACTCAACTAGAGTGCCAGCAAAAAGCCTTTAACAATATCTCATGCCAGGAAGTCTTATGAATGGTATATTAAAGGAGTGTAATGTAATTGATGAAAAAAAATGTAGTAATTGTTTGACCTTCAGTGAAATAAGCTTGCAAAATTGATTTATAAGCTGTTTTGTAATTCAATTTCATGTACATTAAAAAGGCTATAAAATGATTTTTATGTACTTCACTAATTTTTAACTGTAGGCAATTTACTTAAGTATACATAATATGTTAGGAGAACCAAGTAAGAAGGCTTTCAAAATAGCTCCCAAGGTACACTGCTATTGAATCCTGTTCTGCAGATTGAAAAATGAAATCTCCAGTTGCTGTCCACATCATCTTTGTCTCTTTTGGGGTAATAGAGATTTTAGTATATAGTTTATGTCTGGATGTGCAGGGGATTTCCTATGAAGTAGAGTAGAGAAATCTGACTTAAATGTATTAAATAAGAAACTAAATACTGACTGTATAGCACTTCAAGTTTGAAAAATTCAGTAGCTAAGCTGTGCCATCATGTTCTCTGTATCAGCTATTGTGCATACGCATCATTAAAAGACAAAATATCTCAAAACATTTCACTATTCTGTCTCTTGATTAGTCAAAGCATGGGCAGATAAATCTAAAGTGCTAAAAATTACTAAAAATTATCCTAACAAGAAATATCAGTGATTAAAATTGATTTAATAAAATCAAAATTTAAAGCCCTACCCCAAGCAGAGCAGTTTTTTACCTCAAAAAGGGGAGGAAGTACCACTAATTCTAGGAAATCCATTAGGAAAACGGTTTTGCATTGATTTAACATGCAAACTCCTAAATTACTATAGTAACAGTTGGCAAAATACTATCCTAAAATTGGATGGATGGATGGATGGATGGATGGATGGATGGATGG